TGTGAGGATGGAAAGACCCTCTTCTTTAAGGAGCAATTATTCACACCCATTTAGCGCTACCAGAACGCCGTGACATGCGCAAAATTGAGAACGGAGAAGAACGAGAGCATTTTCCACACTTCCCCTCGTATAATACCCTGAGGGAATTTTTCCGCCTCCTGCTATACGGCTATATTAAAAACAAAACCATTTTTAAGCATGAAAATATGCTTCAAGAAAGCAATGCTACTAAGTCATGACGGTAATACAATTACAGTTCGCAAAGACATGTAAATACACACTCGTGCGCACAATGCAAATCTCAACGCAGACATAAAAGGAAAAGACCTTCACTTGCGCACACACACTCACAACCTCACAATATTATCTGAGTGTTCACACTTATTCAGACGGCCCCGGGAAAGAAATCACAATGGAAGCCAAAGGTGCAGCAAAACCTGTAATATTACCACTTTGCTGCTGCTCATAAAAAGCCAAAGACCAACTGGACTTACACACACACATTCAGACAGACTTGTTTAATCCAACAGTTACATAATGTAATGTTAATGAGGACATTCAGACATGTCTGGCCATCTAAAGCTGTTAAATTACTGAAAGATGAGAGCGGTATCAATAAAAGATTACTAACATTACATTTTAAAATGCTAATGGCTAACATTTCAAGTATTGATATGACTCAAGAGGGAATTTTCATTTTCATTTTTATAGCCTCATCACACAACACTTTTAATTCTAGTCTTGGATTTACGTATTCAAAATTTTGGCGCTGGCCCTCAGGATAACCACTGAAACAGCACTCCTATTTTCAATCCCGTCCACGGCGGTCAATGCCGCCTGGTGGTTCCATCACAACAGTACAAATCTGCCTTCTAGAACCTTCACTATCTCCATTTTCCTTTGGAAAAAAGAGCTGCCAAACTTGATCCACTGGGTCCATTACAATCTTTGAAAATGGCTAAAAAATAAACTAGATCATTTCCATAAACTAAGGTACCAACGGAGGCACCAACTATGACTTAGGCTAGTTCTAATCTTTTTGTTCTCTCTTTTCTATTGTATGATAAATTACTAATCAAGTCCCTAATTGCTTTTTATAAAAGTATCTGTTAAATGCTAAAATGTAAATGTGGACATTCTGGAATGTACAGATTGTTTTGGAGCAGCTGAGGCAAAAACTGATGGTATGACAGCATACAGTAAACACACATAAGCCCTATTCAGACAGGACTGTTTTTTTCCATAAGAAAAGTCAGGTAAGTTTGTGTTCCACAGAGACATACTTTGTGATTTTAATCCTGTTCTGTTTGAGTAAATCTGTGTTTTCCTCTCTCTCACACAAACACACACACACACACACACACACACACAATAAAAAGGAAATTACCTGCAGTTTTTTTGGCTAACTCCTCTGAGAAATCTAATCCCATCCAGACAGGAATGTCTGTGATTATGGTATATTATTTTCAATGATTATTTATTTTCACAATGAACTGTTGAACACAGTTGAATTTCTCGTTGCATCTTTTATGGATTTTTGCACATTTTCTCAGTCAAATTGGTGTTTCAAGATCTGCTGTCAACCCATCTGATGTAAATAAGAACATTTAATCAAGAAGCAGAGTCAGATCACCAAAACTTCTCAGAATGGCCACATCAGGTACAAGTATAACATTATTTTCTTTTGTTCATTATATAAATAATGTTATAATTGAAAAAGTCTTATTTAAGTGGGGTTTTATGATGTGATCCCAATCCTGTCTGAATCAGGAAACCTAAAATTTGAATATGAAATCACAGATATTCTCTGTCTTTCAAAACTGTGCTATACACATACAAAAATAACAAAAACAACACAGATTTCTGGTATCCAGGTGCAATCTGTCTAAATGGCAACTCTGATATTTTTCCCAGTAATGACAAAGTAGGCCACACAATGTCTTTGATCTTTTCTTTTCATTTATTTTCTTTCATTTGTTCCTTGTCTATCACGGAAAGAAGAAATATCAGAAAACAATATGACACACCAATAGCATTCAAACAAAGAGCCCTCAAACGGAGACTCTGAGAACATTTGACATTTTACATGATGATTCTATTCCATTCGCCAACGTAGAAAGATTCTGGCAAAAATGAGTTTACACAGGGTGGAAACTCAAAACCAAAGTCCTCTTTTGGGAAATACACACACACACACACACATCAATGCACACACAAACAAGCATCACCAGTAAGCATGTGGATACACAAAGAGTGTGTGGAGATGTTCAGATGTGAAGGACATGTCTGCAGGCAACTACTCAAATAATTCACACACGCACACATTTTCTCTACTTCTCCCTTGTTCCGATTATACAGTTAACGTATGTGTAACAATTTACATAAATACTGCCTCATAAATAATTAATCTCTTCACAATTACAGTATTCCATACTAGCACCTCATTATAGCATCATAATTATAACGCATTCCTGCCAAACAAATTCCCTGCTTGTTGCAAACTAGATTTGTTTGTTTAAACGTGAGAAATAAAAGTCTTACTTTTCAGGAAAGACTTTATAATCTGTTTAAGTGGTAACGGACGTTGTTTGAAGTTAATTTAGAGAAAATCAGACACAATAAGATTGTCACAGCAGGACCAGCACAACAAACAAGAACACAAAGGACTGGAAGTTTGAATACCATCCACATAATGAGGTTATGAAATCCAAAATATATGGTTTCTTAAAAACCCACAGTAACTCGACAGCAAATGTTCATTGAACTGAGTTCTGACATCAGACACACACACACACACACACACACACACACACACACACACACACATACTGTATATGGAGCTGTGTTTCTTACATTAGCATATACCATTTCAGTTCACATCACTCTGTGGCATTCATGCATATGTTTCTGTCCAATAAATATTTCAACACTTAAGTATACTCTGAGGTACATTTCATTGTGAAATATTACATTTGCAATTCTCTCTGAATATCTAAAGGTGAACATGAACCCTAGATGGATTTGTTTGCATCTTTGCATCTTGTATTCTCATAAATATGTCCTTTCATATCCTCTACAACAAACATGGGTCATATTTTGACCGACAATCTAAACTACATGTCTACCATGTAGACATTCTCCACAATAAGCAGCAACCACCACAGGAGAAGCTTGATACACTGGTGAAATAAGTTTAAGAGGCTAGTTTTGTTGCTCACAGGCACTGTTAAAGTGAGAGAATTCTTAATGAAAACAGGTTTAATAGGACAGAGGGAAACTCTTCGATTGCGCTCCTGTTTAATTTAATGAGCTTTAAGCCAAGCGATTTAGTTTTTTTAATTGCCTTTCTCTCATTGTTACAAAGACGTATGTGGCCGTCTTCCACAGCGTAAATTCCTCTGAATAACAGTTTAGTTTCTATGTTTCTTTCACCCAGGAAGGACTCAACGGTTCTCTGTTCCTCTTGAATTCCACTAAAAACATCACAATGAAGTATATTTAGCCATGTTTGACTCGACTCAACTCATTGATTTCAATAGTTTGGCATTAAGTTAACAACACAACACTCTTGAAAGCACATAAATACAATACCATTTGAGGTCGGTAAGATTTTTTTTTTATGTTTATGAAAGAAGTCACTTATACTCACAAAAGCTGCATTTATTTGATCAAAAAAAAAAAAATCAAGAAAAACTAAATTTTTATTTCAGTCTCAAATAACTGTTTTCTATTTTAATATATTTTTTAAAGTACTTTATTCCTGTGATGTCAATTTTAATCAGCTATTACTCCAGTCTTCAGTGTCACATAAATCCTTCAGAAATCATTCTAATATGCTGATTTGGTGCTCAAGAAACATTTCTTATTATTATCAATGTTGAAAAGCAGTTGTGCTGCTTACGTTTTTTTTTGTTTTTTTTTAGATGAATAGAATTCCAAAAGAACAGAATTTATTTGAAATAGAAAACATATAATTGAATGTGTCTTTGCTGAGTAATAAGACACATTTCTTTCCAAATAAATAAATAAATCTTACTGTCATACACTACACGTCTGAATGGTAGTGTCAATTAAATACATAAAATATAATATTGGGTAAAATATTCAGCTTCTAACTAGATTTAACTACTTATACTTGATATTGAATGGAATTTAAATATATCTTTATAGTTAACATTTCATTAATCAATATTTTTTGTTCATTCTAATGCATTCTAGGACTGCCTCATCTGTGAATGATTTTGGCCCATGAAAGAAGGTTTCTTAGAAGGCAGTAGTTCACTAGGTTTTGGAACAGAGCCTATGAAGGCCTCCAAAATGATTAAATGCTCTTCTTACCAATTAGATGCAGTTTGGAAAACTGAGAGCAATGTCCAGGGTTCAATGCAAGTTAAGCTCAATCAACATAGATGTGTTGAACTAACTTTGAATTTTGCTTTTATTACAGAAAAAACGAAGGTCAAAGTTATTTTCTGTGGTAAGCGACATTATACAACAAAGGCTGTCAATTGAGCTTAATTTAAATGATAAGTTCCATAACTCGGACCACAGAAAACATGCAAACATGAGCGAAAACACAGTCTTTCTCTCTCTCACTCCCCGCCTCCCTCTCCTCCTCTCTGTAAGATGACCTGTCTGTTTCATATGAGGCCTGCTGCGTTGCAGAGAGCTCTGACAGGCATGCATTTAAATGGGATTTCAGGTACACAAACCATCTGCATCCTGACAGCCTGCAAGCTTATGAATATTAGAGGACAGATGCTTTAAACAACTGTGCGTGAGTCTGAATGCACACACTGGACATCGAGCAACATGAGTCCATTTCTACCACTTCCAGATAATCATACATATACATCCTCCACAGATGTTTACCACTACAGCCGTCATCAGCAACATCTTCCACCATCAGGAACACCATAATTAGAAATAGCAGCAGCATCCTCATTCCTTACTGCTGAGAAAAAAAAAAAAACTAAACCAGGTTTTAAAGCCTAGCTTACCTTTGCCATCTGTGCCTGCACGCCACTGGCCTTCAGGGACGCTACAGCTTTCTGTGCTGCCGCCGGACTGTCGAAATCCACAAAGCCATATCCTACACACACATGTACAGAGTGAGAGTGAGAGTGAGATAAGAGTTATTTATACACATTATAACACACATATCTTAGTGTTTTGGCCAAAAACTGAAGAATTCTTTATCGGACATTAATTAGACATTATCAGATTTAAAATTCAAGGGTCAAAACAAGACTGCTCCGTTGTTTGTCTTATCATGCCGATCGTGGCGACACAAGAGAGTCTGCATGTTTGAGCACAGCCGCTTGTGTCTGTGTGTGGGTTTGTGTGTGCGCTTGGGGAGACAGGAAACGGCCATTTTGTTCAAGGCTCATGCTTGTCAACTATTTCCTCAGGAACAGGACAAAGAAGGACTCAGCCTGACCTCACCCCTGCTGGAAAATCCAGCTTAAAGGAAGAGTTCAGCCAAAATGAACATTCTGTTATTATTTACCTTATTTCAATCCAATGAAACCTTTTCTTGGAACGCAAATTTTAGAATTTTTGACAGAAAAACTATAATTCATGCACTATATTCCAAGTCTTCAAAGTCATACGGCAGCTTGGTGTGATGAACATCAAAAGCAGCGCATTAATATAGAAAGGTAATTAAACGGTTCTAATGCACACCAGTATTCAGACAGACCATGTTCTGTCTGTGTGTGTGTGTGTGTGTGTGTGTGTGTGTATGTATATGTTAAATGACAGTATACCATGTCAGCATCTTGGAATCTTGGAAGTTTGTGGTAAACATCGGCACATCTCCTTTAACGTAGGATCTAGCGACAAAGTATGATTATGTATAAAAGTGTAGTATCGGGGTCTCATTTCTTACAGGAATATATTTTATCTCCTACCCCTTGCCACTCTGTTTGAAGGGGTAGGGGTAGGTACATAGGGGTAGGGGTAGGTGAAGGGGTATAAAATAGAATTGGGATTGGGCCTAAGTAATGGCTCAAAATTTGGTTTGTTCCTCATACAAAGCTACTGTAGGAATTCAGAGGATTTGGAATATAAATCACAAGTAGGGATGCTCCGATCCGCCTTTTTCACCTCGATACCAGGATAACGATTCGATACCTGGGGTTCAGTATTGGCCAATACCGATCCGATACCAGTGCAGTTTTTTTTTTAAATCAGTGTAGAATTTCTATATTTCTGTGCGTGGTACTTCATTATAAAGAAAAATAAAATAAAAATGAAAAATACATGTATATTCATAATATAAGACATATATTATAAACTAGGGTGGTGGATAATTCTGCAGCAAAAGTTATTCTACAAAAATCAGTGCACAATAATTTAAATCCAAACATATAGTGAAAACCTATATTTAGTGGGGAACAAATAAAAGTGTAGCATTAAATCTGGTAAAATGTTACACATTGCTATTTGTATTGTTATAAAATCCATTCATGAAAAACAATGTATAAATATATACTATAAAATTAAAATACTTTTTTTTAATGATGCAACAACATATGATAGATAGGACAAAACAAATACAGTGCGGCACAAAGCGCTTACAGTATGCACATCTGGTGTGCAGAATGATGCGCTTGAAGTAACACGGAGTCACAGCACGCAGCACTTCGCATTAGAAAGGTCAACGATATTGATGCATTGTGTATTATATCTGTGCAACAGTTTATTGAGCCTTTTCCTATATTATTGTGCTTTAAAATGCTTTTATGCCTTTTGTGGGCGGCTTAACACAGAATAGTGCGCAAAATATCGGATACGGGTCGGCCCTATCTGAGGTACCCGATCCAGAAAAAGAATGACAGTATTGGAGCCGATATCCGATATGAGTATCGGATCGCCGCATCCCTAATCACAAGTAGTATGGACTACTTTAATGATCCTTTTTGAAGCATGCAATTTCTAATTAGATGAGAGACATTTTTGTTCCACAGAAGAAATACAGTTATATGATTTTGAAAAATAGTAATGTTTTTTTTTTTTTTTTTTGCAGGGTGGGGGAACTAATCCTTTTGGCAGGTTCCAGAGTGTATTTGGAAGGATTTCAGTCTTGCTTTGATTGAAACAAACAGAAGTCATGACCTTAAAATAAAAATAGTATGGCTGTCAAAAGATTGAAATAATTATAATGGGGCCCAATAGGGGGCATTTAAATTAATTTGAAGTATTTAAATTGATAAATTATTATTAATATGTTAATAATAATATCTTGATGAATTGTGGTTAATATATAAAATGTATGTATGTTTGTACAGTATGTATGTATATGGGGCCTGGTTAATTGGCTAAGAGTCAGCTTAGACTAGTTAGAAAGCAGTTACCATGTTTCAAAACACAGCTACTATTCCAGCAGGGTCCATTCCACCACCCAGCTCTTTAACCAAACAATTCTTTGGCAGCAAGCAAGAGAGAAGATCCATGACTTCCTTTACGGCGTATCGTAATAAAAACTGCAGTGGCGGAAGTTCTTAAAGACCCTCGGTACATTTGAGGCACATTTGAGGCAGTGTGTCTTCATTTGGTGGAAGCATTCTCACCATAAGCCTCTCTAAACTCTAAACACACACACTCTCAAAGCCTGACTGACATTCGAAACCACAGATGGCAGAACGCAGAGCTTTGGAGAGCGAACGGTTGAAGCCAACAGATCTATATGCCAGACATATGTGTTCTTTTACACGCGCGCACACACCTTACATATAGAACAACACACATCCGCTTTGAAGCCTCCCGGTAAACATGGAAGCGAGAAAAAGAGTGACAAAGGTCTCTACAGCGGAGAACTGAGCCATCCAGATGTTCCAAAGACTGCAGATGTTTCATAAGCATAAGAAAACAGAGCATGTGTGTGAAAAAGTATTTAGACTGTTCTTGATCCAGAGAGAGAAACACTTCTGGTTTGAGAGATCGCTGCGAGCATTCCTGAGGTCACTGACCAAAAGAGCTAACTGTCTGATATCCTTGGCTCCCATAAGTCCTGGCTGGAAGCCCATCGGGGTGGAGAAGCCTAGCAGAGTAGGAGGGCTGTTAACTCAAGGAAGTGGAAGTCCTCTAAAGCCTGGAGTGATTTCCTCTGCTTCCCAAAAACACCCTCTCTCCCTCTTTCTCATGTGGGCATTAATACTCATTTTTGGACATATTAGATGTGCCCTCAGAGAGAAAGCATGACAAAGAGAAAGACACACACATGCATACACACGAAACAGGAGAAAAACCTGCGGGACCCAGTTTGGCAGATTGTGTAGGAAGCCAGGCTGTTTATTTACAGCACTGGCTGAGTGTTTCCTGAAAAGAGGCTGCCTGCTAAATCATCAATTTCAGCCGGACGCTTCCCTCACCCCTATGGCTATTTTTAAACCACTACGACTAGGCTCGGACTTTTCAAATCAACACAGGAGGAACCCTGTGCTTTTCCTCGCCGCGGCTAACCCTGTTAGTCATGCTAATGTCTTATCCGGTTGTAAAGACTTCACCCACAATCACGCTAACACGTTTCCGCCTCTAAAGTTCACCCAGACTATCTCCAGACTCCAAAGTCTTTCAAAAGCTGTCATTTTACGAGGATTATTGATTATTTTAAAGTGAGACTGTGAATGCTCTGTGAGCGTGTTTTTAATGCAAGCCGATATTGACTGCGGTACTCACCTTTGCACTGGTTGGTGTTTTTGTCCAGGATTGCCTTTGTTGACACTATTTTTCCATACCTGCAAAGGACAAAGAGAACAACAGGATCAGCTAAAAATGAAAGCTAGCTAGATCAAGTACATTTCAATCTATTGCATGAAACACTGTTTTTTGATCTACTAACAGTGTCTAATCATTTTTGTAATTTTAATTACAATGAACCTTTCCACCACAATATAATTTCCACCATATCTCAAAATATGTATTGTTTCATTACATTATGTGGTGGAAATGAACATGATTGAAATGACAATTTTAACGCTTTGTAATAAAATAAACTCCTCTTGCTAATGCTAATTTCACAGTTAGCTTTTTATGCATCCTAAATACACTGTTGAATAATATTTTTACACTTTTTGCATAATTTGTAATATAACAGTAAATGTATTCATTTAAACACAACAATATTCATTTATTTACACATTCAATGCATTCATTTAAAAATCAGAATCATCCAAAATATTATAAATTGCTAATATTTGCTGACACTTTTTATACATTTTTGTTTAAAGCTGTAATACTGTAAAAATGTAATATCTGTATCATTTTCATTTTTAAAGTTGCAATGAAATCTTTTCTTCAGTATACATTCAAATAAAATGGATTATCAAAAAAGAAAAAAAAAAAAGAAAATTAAACACAAAAAATTAAAAACAATCCTATAAATGGGTGAATCGTTCACAATAAGATTGCCATTTTCACTGAGGTCTGGGGCAAAAATCTACACAGAAAATATATTTTAAAAAAACTGTCAAAAATTACAACTTTCTAATCCTAAAATGACACATTTTAATGTGACCTTCATATGAGAAAAAGAAAGAAGTTAAAATCAGTTTAATAAAAGTCAACCCCTGGGACATACAAGTGCCCGAACTTGAAGAAAAACCCAAGTGTAATGTTTGCTCCGAGCTTAGTTAATTAAAAAGTTTGAACCTAACTCATAGAGTATTTTTAATAAAGATATAGTTTAGCTTCATTAAAACCTTGATGAAGGGATGTTTATCGATACATCAATACCTTCCTTAACAGGACACCCTAAACAAGGGGAGGTTGATTTTGAGTGCAGGATGTGAGTCTCATACCCTAATGATTTAATTAAACAATGAGCATCACAGAGCCCCAATCTGCACCACAAAAACCCCTGCCCACGTTTTCACTTTTTCACCTCAACTCAGTGTTTTGCCTTATTCCTCCCATATCGCTTTCCTTCCATCCATGATGGAGGTAATAAAGTTACTTATCGCTTCCGTCTCCACCTGAAGACCGGGAAGACTGATATAAGCGTGGCACTCCTGATGTGACTTTTAATTAATATTTATTGCGGCTCCCACCTCCAGGTAAAAGCGGGAGACTATATTACCCACCTTTATAAGGATGGAGGCGTTTAATAAGGGAAAGATAATTTCACTGTCACTGTGAGAAGCGGCGTCCCATCGAGGCATTGTGCCACTGATGTCTGGATCATGGTAGCTAATTCGTCTCATATCCCTAATAAGCCCTCAAATGGCAAAGCTTATAGAAGAAATACAAATAAATATCGTAAGCTGCTATAGAGTGCTGCGAGGTTGAAAGTACAACCGTTGTACAAGGTTTCGTGTGAATTTATCAACAAAGTCTTCTGCAATTCACACCATCACATAGCAAGTAAATGTGGGCGGATGTTTTTTTGCGAAAACGGATAATCACAACTCTGGGATTGCAGAGACTCATTACAGAAACAATACTGGTTTTGTTTGAATTTTTTTCCCCCGTCAATATGGTATGTCAGTAAACAAAGTAGAAGCCTGGGGGACGAGAGCAACCACATAACACAGAGTGGAAGACATGAAAAAGAGGAGCTCTGTTGGAGAAAGCATGTAGCGGACCAAAGTGAAGGAAACACATGAGAACCATTTGACTCGAATGCTTGATTTGCTGCCATTTCATCTTGCAAAACAAGTGGACAAATACAGGCGTCTCAGATGAGTGAGTGGGTCGTGGGTGGAGCTGAGGGAGGAATGTAGTCAACATAACTGGCAACGTTTCCACAAGCCAGTGCCACGCCGCGGTCATGCACACGGATGTCTCACTAACACGAAACTCACAAACAGGAAGGTTTCCTCACAAACAGAGGCGTAGATTCATTCTCTTGCAGCCAATAAGGGGGTGCAGGGAGCGGAATGTCTTGTCTTGTGAAATATCATAAGCCTGTCTTGTTTTGTTTGTTTAGATGCTGATAAATGAAGCATTGTGAACTACCGAGGTGGGGTAACGTTTAATAGACAGAGTCTGTGGTTATGATTTATATGTTACAAAATGAAAGTCTTTGTTGAAACCTCAAAAACTGTAATGCCCTATACCGTTACTTTCTGGTTAACGTAATGCTCTTTAGGATCATTTGTCAGGATGACACGGCTAACGTTGTAGCCAAAGGTGGAGGAGCTCATGAGAACATCTGGCAAAGCATCCTGATCACGCTCACACTGAACAATGAACTTCAGGGTAGTTTTAAGTTGATGGAGAGCAGTAATGCCGGAATGGGACGTTATTCTACCCAGGTTAAAGGTTCATTATGGAATTTTGGCCTCTCTATCGCCACCTGTGGTTGAAACACAAAACTTTCAAAATCATTGAATTTATAAAATGAATTGGGATAAGGCAAGAACTAGTGTTGCTTTCGTCAACGAAAATTATGACTAAATATCGTCATCAACGAACCTTTATTACGTGACGAAAACGAGACGAGACGAAAATGCTGGTCATGTGACGATGACTATAATTAAATGTATAATGCAATATCGTTGACGAATAAAAACGAGACTAAATGTGGTTTACAAAATAAAAACTATGCTAAAATGTCTCTTCATTTTCGTTGACCAAAACGAGACGAAACGAAATGTTATAACGTTATTTCGTCTCGTTCAGTCGCGTTATTATTATTATTTTTTAAAACAGGCCGCCAAAAACAACACTAGCAAGAACACAGTTTTGTAGACTGATTGTACTTGCTCAATAATGATTTTTTTTTTTTTTTTACCCATAAAACTTTCTATAGTGCACCTTGAATCAGATAAATAACGAGTTCTGTCATTTACACACCCTCATGTTGTTTCAAACCCTTACGGTTATTTCAAATACACATTTTTTTTTTCCTGTGGAATACAAAAACGCGTATTTTTCCAAAAAATTAAATTAAATTAATAACTATGGATTTAAAATAAGGGTGAGTAAATTATGTAAGAAGTCTTATTTTTGGGTGAACTATTCCTTTAATGTGGTCTTAATGTTATTAGCACCCAAATATACACTAACTTTACTAATTAGCATTGCGTGCATTTCATTACAATGTGCACATATGTAAAATTCATGCAAATTCCGAGTGTTATAAGTCATACTAATAAAGTGCTGAACCCTTTTTTATTGAATAGAAGCAGGAATGTTTTTATGGATTGCATATCAAAAGAACTGTTCTGATGATTGTGTATCAGGGTTACTGTTTCTACGGATGCTGACTTTTGATTAAGAACAAGATTCAAGTGTGTTTACTAGTTGAAAACTTTCAGGACCTCAAGCATGGAGTTCCCCTCATGGATGGCGGAGTGCCAAGAATATGACCTTAAATAACATCAAGCCAAAGAAACCAAATGGTTTACAGTGAGAGAAGTTGCATGTTACAATATTAGTAAACCATCTACTCTATGATATATGATGATTATCATATACAGCAATATTATAAACACAAGAACAAAAATAGCATATTAAATTATGTCCCAGCTATTCCAAACACAACAGAAAAATCACTTAAATCTCATTCATATTAACTTGACTTTTGGCCTAATCAGCCATGACTACAGATAGCAGTGCACGACAAAGAACTTGGTTGTTTGGTTTCCATTTTCAACAGTTTGCAATTGGTTGGCCTGCCCATGGTGAAATTTCATTTGTCCAAAATCTTGCTCTAAACACTGGTGTATTAAAGAAATATCTGTTTACTTTCAACTCAACATTTCTTGTTTAATTGGGCGTATTTATTTGGCAGAGCACATCATTACGAAAAAAGTTGCCTTCATAATCAAAATGTTTTAAATGGCAAATGTTGATGTCACCAAATTTCTTTGTTGACCAGCTGTCACCTTTCACGCTGCAATAAAGTGCCATCCTACATTTTTTTTCTAATTATGCTATTTCACTTACGTCACGTAGTATATATATGTCCAAAACATCATGTTAAGAAAATACGTCACATTTAAATGAGCTTTGAAAAAAAAAATCATTTTGGCTTTACACATCAAACATTTTCTAAAATATAAATATATAACAATTAATTAATCATTTATTTAACAAAGATGCATTAAATTGATCAAAAGTGACAGTAACATTTATAATGGTACAAAACAGTTCTATTTTAAATTAATGTCTATAAAATGTTGTATTAAAAATGATAAAATATTATATAAAAATATTATATTATTTTATAAAATATTTTCTGCATTCTACAAAAAAATATTGAGCAGCACAACAACTGATAATAATAAGAAATATTTCTTGAACACCATATATATATATATATGTATAAATTATAAAACATAACTTTTTTATAAACTGATTTACTGGAGTCTTTATAAGGGTCATTAAAATGGAAATGTCAGAGAAGATTTATGGAGTTATGTTGAATACATTTGTGCGCCTCAAACCTTGGTGAAGAAAGTCACAACTATTAAAGGGGTCATATGATGCGATTTCAAGTTTTCCTTTCTCTTTGGAGTGTTACAAGCTGATTGTGCATAGATAAGATCCCTGAAGTTGCAAAGACTAAAGTCTCAAAACCAAAGAGATATTCTTTAGAAAACGAAGCGTTTGAGAGAGGCGGGGCATAGAGGACCTACAATAATGTACAGTATTTGAAAAATTATGTGTTTTTTGAACATTAAAGCATGTCAACATATTCTGTTACACCAAATACACAAAATAATGATCTTTTAAAAAGCATCATATGACCCCTTTAATATCACCTAAAGGCATGCCAGCTGTGACTGACAGA